GGAGACGTACAACCACAAACTGCAAGACTTTTACCTTGCACTCGCCACGGGCGCAACATGTGGTAGGAAGAAAAGACAACTGGAACTTTGATCTGACCAGCGGTGGATTCCTTTTCACGTCATGTTATCTAAGTAAACTGCATCGCCAGTCGAAAACGATAGACTTCAGGCAGCAAAGCAATCATTTCCTTCTCTTTGATTCAACGATAAAACAAAGGGAAGCTTGACTTTTTCCTTTTTGGCTTCACGCATAATTTGTTTACATATTATGGTAATGCAAATTAGCCATGTGTGCACAAGCAAAGAGGCCGAGTATTGAGGCCTGGGATCTAGTCCGCGAAATTCGAAACCGTTTGCAAGTGACTTGAATGTTCTTTGCTTGTTCACTGTACCCTGAAAATTGTGGGTGTATTTTAATTGCACTATGGCAAAACGCTTTGTGAACGAATTCTCCATGAGCCCTTTCACTGTAGAGGTAAAGAACTGAAACATTTTTTTGCCTTTGTTGCTGTAGGGAGTAATGTTTGAAACAGTTTAAAAAAACAGCAAAAATTCATATCATGTTTGCATTAAACTTATTAAGGTTGTCAGTAAAAAAATAACATCACGGGCAAAACATTAAAGTGACATTTTCTCGGAGAACATGCACCATTATCTTATTGAGATAAATTGGTTTCTTTTCTTATTTATTTGCTACACAAGAAGTAAAAAGAAACAAAAAATGGAGAAATTAATGGCAAGGAGGCCAAATATGTTAATTAGGCCTTCTCAATTGCAATTTCGAAGGCCGAGGCTGATAACACTTAAATCGAGACCTTGCTAAAGTCGGTACTTAATTGTTATCACCGGTGCTGGAATAAGCACTGGTCCTGTGGTGTCAATACTGTGTTATTCACGGGACCCGGAGTCTGGGTGTGCAAAGCGAGAGAACTAAAACTGCCTCCAAAACAAAAAAAGACAACATGTATTCTTGGAGCTGTGCCCTCATCCTTCGACATGGCTCATCTTAAACTAAAACGGGAAGGTCTGAGTGCTTTTTAAAGTAGAACAGGGGAGAAAATAAAATATCCATTTTAAACATAGTAATGTTAGACTGTAATAACTACAATTTTTAAATGTAGTATCAAATTACCAACACATCTCTATGTTTTAGGCCTATCATGATGGTGCCTCGCTCCTGCAAAGATGCTCTGCAGAGTCAGTGAAGGCAATTTTGGATAGCGAGGAAGCTCGGAAAAACCGACTTTCTTTGCAGGCTTACCAGCAAGAAGTCGACGAGTTTTGCCAATCCAGTGACCATGAAAGGATAATGGTCATTGCTTTTTGAGAAAGAATCAAATAGCCCAGCAGCAATGGTACTTCTCAAGAAGAGGGGCTATGATACAAGGCACCTGCTACCTCTACCTCATCATCCAATTGGTGCTGAGATGAAAAATACCAGCAGAAAATTGTACTGGGAGTTAAATTATTGTATCAGGAGGGCTGACAAACGCTCAATGTGTTTGGGAGATATTTGTATTTCCCATGGGATACAGGAGGTGTACAACAGAGAAAAAGACCATCCTAGAGGGGGGCTACCATCTTCATCTGGCTGATGGTAGCAGGTGGGTTCAAAAATTCCCCAGCACTGCGCCTGTACTTGGCACATGGATTTGACATTATTGGGATGTATGGAACAGCGGTAATGATGTCGCTGCGTGATGTCAGAGAGGAAGGTGTTAGCAGGAGCTTAAAACAACTGGTGAACAGATTGGAAAGCACCTTCCTTCTTCCTGCCTTGAAGCAAAACCAGGCACCATCATCTGTTGAAGATTCAAACAGCCAGGAGGGTCCCAGTGCAACAAATGAACCTACCTCACAAGGTTCTGAACAAGTAGTTGATCCTGAAGATGCCAAGATGTTGGAACCAGATTCCCAACATTCCGCTGCTTCTAAAGAAAGTGTTTTTTCCTTGAATCAGGAAAGCCAGGATACAAATGTAAATGAACTGCAAAAATGAATTTTGACATCGTCCACACGAAAGTCTACACTGTTTCTTACAGCTATCATTGAAAAAAAGATACGCCTATTTCAATAAAGGTTGCTTCAGTGAAGAATGATGCATGGTCCATGTTTCATGGCCTGCAGTGCATTATGGGAGCAAGTCCAGTAAATTATACCTGCGACAAGCCTAGAAACCTAGAAAGCAAACGCTACTGACGCTTCAATGCAGAACCTTATGACAATGTATTTCAAAACACTGAATCCTAGACTTTTTAGGACAGTGATTTGAGTTGAGGTTTTGCTCTGTGGTAAAATGCAGATGTTGCAAATTTTCAACGAGTTTGATTGGATCATGCACATGGACATGGGAATTTTGGATGGAGTTGAAAAAAAAAAAAATTTTTGTTGAAGTACAATAAATAACTTAAAATTACACGTTTATTTATTTTTGAGGTCATTTTTTTAAAACTGACTCAAAAAAAGAATAGAATTGATTTGCTTTATCGAAATAACCAGCACTCTGGCCCATCCAAAAACCCAGCTTAATCCGGCAGTATAACCCTGTTCAATTGATGTTGTTAAAGGAAGAGGCTTCTAATTTCTTACTGTGAGATTTTAAAAATAAAATTCTTTAGCTCGCTCATGCTTAAGAATTTTTGAAGGCATTTGAGTTGAAAGCTCTCTTGAACACCTTCTCACAAAAGGTCTCCATTATTTCAATGAACATGAACAAGACTGAACTTCCCACTACAAAAGGGTTTACAATAGTGATTTGCAGGCCATGAAACATGGTTCATCGGAGCAACCGTAATTGAAATAAGTGTATATAATTATTAAGTCATGTTAAATTGCCATTTGAGGTACATATGACCCAGTGTACAATATTACCCTATGAATCTTTATTCTCTTATACTTTCATTTTTCCTTTGATAATAAACAATAGTTAATTTCGAAGTTTTCTGTTTCTTTGATAATAAAATAATAACAATTATTTTGTCTATGACTATATTGTTTAAACATTTGCAGGATGAAGGACCTGCCAGCCAAGCATCCAAACGTCTGCGCGTGGAGCAAGAGTCTGATGAGAGGCCTTTACCAAGAATGCTCTCTGGTATTGTTGGTGGCCGAACGCCTGATCACTTAGAGCAGTACATTTCCCAACTCGAGTTCAGGTCCTTTGAAGATAATTTCAGATTCCTAGAATCACAATCTGTGATAAAATGCCAAATGGATGTGAATCAGCAAGACATGGCTAATCGCATAGAATCAATGGAACAACATCAATTGAGACAAGGGCAGTACAATTCACTACTTCAAAAGCTGCAAATTGCTAAACAGCTGGAGTATTTGAGCAATGTCAGAGATGAGCATGTGTTAAACACAGCAAAGTGGCTGGTTGACAATGACAAGGTCTCTATGAAAATGGCTGCTCTGAGGGAGGTTATTGCTGTAGGATGGGCAGTTTATCGTTATCCTGTACTAGGCCAGGTAAATTTATGTTGGGCTTCGGCAAAGCTAGTCATACCTGCAGCTGCTGATCTTTTCGACGAAAAGATTAAGGCAAATGAATCTCTACCTCAAAATGTCACTGAGGCCCAGAGATCACGATTAGAGGCACCCTGCCTGAGAATGTCCATCGAATTTCCACAAGGGGAACCCGGTGATGGTGATGGATTGAGTGAACTGAGAGTAACCGACCTCCATGGGCTTTTCATGGGGGATGCTGCAGTTCCAAACACAACCGAAACACTGGTTTTTAGGCACATGTATCCCAGTGAGTTTGCAGCATTTGAGGGTAGACCGGCTTCAATTATTGAAAGGAGAAGCAGGCTGATGGGCTTTGACACCCAAGAGGCACCAAGGGACCCTGGCAGAAGAGACTGCGATATCCCCCAACCTTACTGGAGAGAAGGAAGGGAGTTTCTAAAGCAAGAGTTAAATGGCCTGAGAGGAGAGATACCTATCGATCAGGCTAGAATCCTTGGTGACTGTTATGGAGTTGACCTCTATGGACGAATGTTGTTGGACATCCGAGGTGTATATGACGACTCTGACAGAGTACAAGCTCCAACATTGAGAAGATTAGAAATGGCAGAAAGAGCTATTCGTTCTGGGTACGCATTTCCCACCAATCATTACTTTGTCACTGACAATCTGTGGCAGGCCTTCCAAGATGCAATAAGCCAACACAAGGGTGGCTTTGGCGGGGATGTGGAATTTATTCATCCATGCATATGCAGAAGAGCACGTCACCAGCTTGAGGTTCAAGTCACACGGCAAAGGAGACACAGATATGCAGAGTGAATGCATACTGCGCTTAGAATGGCAGACATGTATGTCTGCTGTTGTTCATTTGTTATACAGCAGAAACATAACATTTGCAGGTGAATAAATTAAAGTTATTCTCCATGACATACCTAATGGAGGAGAGAGTTAACATTGCCTGGAGACCAGGAATTCAAAGGTTTGGCAAAGACACCATAAAGACTGCCTGGAAACCTTGCCAAGGTTTGGCAGATGAATAATATTGCAGCATTGTTGCTAGCAACAATTTGCCTGGAGACCTAGAATGGAAGGTTTGGCAATGTTGGTTTCCCTGCATGTTCAACATTTTTAACTCTGCCAAGATGTACACAGAAGTGCATTTTGCCGGTCCCAAGCCCGGACAAAAGAGGAGGGTAAAATGTGAACATTTGTTGCCAATGATGTATCTTGACACTCTTTCTTAAAATTCAGTGAGGTACATCAGATTGAAGCTGTTGTACTAGCAAGTAAATGAAATTTAATTTTTCATAGGAGGGAACAAAATAGGCAAATGAAGAAAAGAGCAAAAATTCCAAACTTAAGCAACACCACAGAGAGCTTTGCATGTGCAGGTCACATACGTGTACAATTTTCTGTCCTATAAAAACACCTAAGAAATGCAGGAAAAAGTCATAATTTTTAAATCAACCTAAGAAGGTCTTCACCTATGTGCAAGATGAAACCTCAGCTCCAAATCGCCTTTGTAGTAAGTGTTAAAAGGAAATGCTTACTTTGAAACACTCGAAGATATTTCCACCAATGCTGAACTCGCTTGGAGTGGATGCGTACTGTGTAGTATTCAATGTAAGGTCTAGAAAAAATAAAATTGATGATGTCAAAGAATAGTCCTTCTTGCATTAATTTTGTCGAGATGAAAACACACAACTTCTATTCTACTCCAATGTAAATAAAATAAATATAATAATAACCTTTGGGGTGGAACTACCGGTACCTATTGAGGCCCATTGAGGAGGTGTGGTCCAAAAAGAGGACCTCTTTGAGTGAGGGATGATTACTATTTAAAGCACTTTATTTTGATAACAAGAGTATGATCAGTCAACGAAAATTAGCCACTGATGACCACATTAAACTTTACAAAATTTCTCTTCCATCCTTCCCCCTGCCAGGCATGGAGAGAGAGAAAAACCCCATTTAATCAAACATATGCGATGGAAATTCATGCTTACATTGATTCCTTTAATGCAGGGAGTTATGAAACAACTGAAATTAACCTTTCCAAGCTTCAAATTAAAATGCTGGTGTTATTAAGCCCGTTCACTCAAAAGAATGTAACCTTTTCTATGAAGAAATGATAATATTGACAAAAAAAAAATTCGGAACAAAACCTTTTCAATGGCTCGATTGATAACTTGATGGATGGTGTGTTAAAACAATTCAATAAGAGATTGCAGGGTTCCAATTAAAATGTCAAAAACCCCAGTGTATTAAGAACCTCCTTTTCCAGTAATCAACCATCAATTTACCTCCTTCACTGAAATAAGAAACCTAATTAAGAACCAACTTGGCTGCTGATTAAATGCCCCAAGATAGGTAACAAACCATTTTGTCCGCTATACTTCAAAAAAATATATTGTTATTAATCCTGGGTGTTTACTGTAATTTATTCAACTCCTTTGTTTTATTGCCCGAAGCATTGTACTCATCTTGAAGTTCCGAACTCAACTCAACTCAAGTGGTAATCGTTTTCATCATTGATGGCTAAGCAATCCCCCTTTCTACCCCTTATCAAACCTATTTACCCAAAAGAATCTTTCACTATTAAAATAATCTCTATTATTCACCTAGTAAATGGAAAAGTCAGGGCAAGAGTTTTAATTATCAATCTACAAAAAACCCCCTTTAACAAATCTTGTGCTGCAATCAAAGAAAGGCAAGAGTAGTCATCGTTAATCTCCAAAAAACTCCCCTGAACAAATCCTGTTCCGTGTACAAATTGAACAAGTCTTAATGTTGAAAGAAAAATGCCCAAGTAGTTTTCATAACAGGTAATAAGTAAATTTAAACAATTTCTCCATTTTCCCATCTTGAAGTTCCGAACTCAACTCAACTCAAGTGGTAATCGTTGTCATCATTGATGGCTAAGCCATCCAGGGCCTTTCTACCCCTTATCAAACCTATTTACCCAAAAGAATCTTTCACTATTAAAATAATCTCTATTATTCACCTAGTAAATGGAAAAGTCAGGGCAAGAGTTTTAATTATCAATCTAAAAAAAAACCCCTTTAACAAATCTTGTGCTGCAATCAAAGAAAGGCAAGAGTAGTCATTGTTAATCTCCAAAAAACTCCCCTGAACAAATCCTGTTCCGTGTACAAATTGAACAAGTCTTAATGTTGAAAGAAAAATGCCTCAGTAGTTTTCATAACAGGTAATAAGTAAATTTAAACAATTTCTCCATTTTCCCATCTTGAAGTTCCGAACTCAACTCAACTCAAGTGGTAATCGTTGTCATCATTGATGGCTAAGCCATCCAGGGCCTTTCCACCCCTTATCAAACCTATTTACCCAAAAGAATCTTTCACTATTAAAATAATCTCTATTATTCACCTAGTAAATGGAAAAGTCAGGGCAAGAGTTTTAATTATCAATCTACAAAAAACCCCCTTTAACAAATCTTGTGCTGCAATCAAAGAAAGGCAAGAGTAGTCATTGTTAATCTCCAAAAAACTCCCCTGAACAAATCCTGTTCCGTGTACAAATTGAACAAGTCTTAATGTTGAAAGAAAAATGCCTCAGTAGTTTTCATAACAGGTAATAAGTAAATTTAAACAATTTCTCCATTTTCCCATCTTGAAGTTCCGAACTCAACTCAACTCAAGTGGTAATCGTTGTCATCATTGATGGCTAAGCCATCCAGGGCCTTTCTACCCCTTATCAAACCTATTTACCCAAAAGAATCTTTCACTATTAAAATAATCTCTATTATTCACCTAGTAAATGGAAAAGTCAGGGCAAGAGTTTTAATTATCAATCTACAAAAAACCCCCTTTAACAAATCTTGTGCTGCAATCAAAGAAAGGCAAGAGCACTCATTGTTAACCTCCAAAAAACTCCCCTGAACAAATCCTGTTCCGTGTACAAATTGAACAAGTCGTAATGTTGAAAGATAAATGCCTAAGTAGTTTTCATAACAGGTAATAAGTAAATTTAAACAATTTCTCCATTTTCCCATCTTGAAGTTCCGAACTCAACTCAACTCAAGTGGTAATCGTTGTCATCATTGATGGCAAAGCAATCCCCTTTTCTACTCCTTATCAAACCTATTTACCCAAAAGAATCTTTCACTATTAAAGTAATCTCTATTATTCACCTAGTAAATGCAAAAGTCAGCAAAAGAGCCATGTATGTATAAACAACAACAACAACAAAAACCTTTACAAGGCAAGAGTTTTAACTATCAATCTACAAAAAACCCCCTTTAACAAATCTTGCGCTGCAATCAAAGAAAGGGAAGAGTAGTAATAGTAAATCTACAGAAAACTCCCCTGAACAAATCCTGTTCTGTGTACAAATTGAACAAGTCTTAATGTTGAAAGAAAAATTTCATAAAAGGTAATAAGTAAATTTAAACAATTTCTCCATTTTCCCAGAAATATCTTTTTAAAAAGACCATTTGATATATATAAATGGTGATGGTCATTGAGTTCAACAACTCACCTCAAGGCTTGCAGCTTTTTGTCCACCAGCACTTTAAAGGGAGACAGATCAGGTTACACCAAGCAATACTACTGTGTTAAATAAGCATCACATTATGAAAAATGGGGTGTACACACACCTTGCAATAATTAGACCACACTTATGATGTGATGTAGTCGCAGCATTATTTTTCAGCGAGCAAAAAATAAATTGTAATAAATATAGTTGAACATTAGGAAGAAGCCAATATTTTGTCCACACCCGTGGAGAACCAGACAATCACTGGCTTTTCTACTTTGGCTCTATACAATCCCCAGTAAATGCACAAGGCACTTAACTTACATGAAATTACCCACGAAGAAAATGGACAAAAAAGGGAATGCTCCAAAACTACATTTCTCATAGCTTTGTAAATGTCACAAGAATAAACAAACTTTCCTTTGTCGAGATAAAACAAAAAAATCTAAGCAACGTTCAAAAATCAACGGTAAAATAAAATTGAGTTGCAAGTTCCAATGTAGTGAATGCCCACAAAACATTTTCTGATTATCATAAATGCACAAGGTCATTTGCAATGTATAAACCAAGAAAAAAGTGGAGAAAAAAATTAAATTCACCAAAACTGAATTCCTCCATGACAAAGTTAACAAGTATGTGACAAGAATAAACACCAAACTTTCTTTTGTCAAGAAAAACTGCAATGTTTAAAAATCAAAGGTAAAATAAAATTGCATGTTCCCATGCAGTAAATGTCCACAAAACATTGTTTGAGGAAAATGATTTAAATCGTAAACAGAGTGAAGAAGTTTCATCGCAGCTTGCTTAAATCATTGTGTAAACTGTGTTAAATATTACTCTTATTAAAGGCACCATGGCAATGCAGACTTATTATAATTAAAATACCTTTTTCTACCTACATGTATTATTCACTAATATTACTAAACATAGATGTCTGAAGGTCAGTTCCTTAGAATGATGAGCTTGTTCATTACTTCAAGGATTCACATGCATAAATCACATTGGAAGCAGACGCTAACAGAGATGAACAGGTCTATTTGCAGGGCAGACAACTTGAAACTTGGATTTCATATCTGGACCCAACTTTTAGTTCTTCTTGTGCGAATTTTTTTTCACACCTGAAGTGTCACTGCAACCACGGAGTGGAAAATATCCAAACATTGACCAACAGGTTAAATGTGATCCATGAGCAAAACTTGTCCAGAAGGAATAGTTTTACAAAAAACTTTTTTTGATCCATCTTTGTGATATTTTTCAAAAGCTGAAAGATAAAAGATGAAATCAATAAGGCATTCTTAATTTCAATGACAATAAAATGATGGGTCATAGCTTTGCTCACACCACTGCATTACATGTACATTGGAAAAAATAAATAATGTGCACTGTTTTGAACAATCCCACAAGAACAATAATAGAACAAAAAGTGGTTATGCTATTACAAGGCACTACTTCATTTCAATTATGATTCAAGACATTATGTCTTTATTATATACATACTCAGTGATCTTGATGATTCAAGCAATCTGACGTTATATTCACCATGCTAAGTGGTTAATATAAAGCAAAACAAAATCGCTGTCGTGAACTAAGTGTTTTGCCAAATTTCAGAGTAAGAACTTTTTGAAAAAACAAGAATATATCCCACTGTTGTTGATTTTGAAGGTAAGAAAAGACTTCATGGGGTTTTAACTGTGTGATTTATTGTGAAGTGATTTACTGTAGTTCACTTTCATACACCCGAAGCAGTTTTTCTACCACTAGCAGAGGAAAACAAGCCGCATTGTCCAGGAATTTCTCACTGACTTGTGAACTCAACAAATTGTGTCTCAAAATGGAAGTTAATGTTTGGAGAAAAACAGGAAAGCAAATATTTTCAAAAAGTCTACATGCCAGCAAGTTAACATGGCAAAAAACACTGCAGATAAACAAGGCTCACGATTAGTGTCAAAAATAATTTCTCATTCACAGTGAGTTGACAGAAGTTAATTAAGCGCAGTGTTTCTTCTCAGAAAGGGTAGTTATTTAAAATTTTGACATTTTCTTTTCAATCAATTCATTGATTCTAAAGCTTACAAAGAAATAAATTAACTATGAATTTCCATGATTTGAAATACTCTTAAGATATAACATTTGCACATCTACTGTTTACGGATTGTTTTTAGCTACATGTAGATATTCACGCGTAAATTCACCCATCAATCAAACTAATACTTTTTCTAATGGTTTTCTTTGTGATTCTGTTGAAATCACTTTGTGCAATGATATATACTAAAATAATTATTCAACTCAGGCAAATAATTTTTAAATAACACTTGAGTCATCAAAAAGCTCACTACCTGAACAAGCTTATAATTTTCTACGAAGACAATGAAACTGAGAAAGTGGGTTCAAAAAAGGGTAATAAATTTTCTCAAATACAAGTAACCAAAAGGGAAAAGTATTTCTTACCTCAAAATTCTTAATGCAGAAAATTAACAACAAATTTCAGAAGGTATAAGATTAAACTCTCTTCATGCAAGTGTTGTTTGCATTTCCATATAAGCTTCAACCTGGTTGAATGTACACATGGGCAGTCAGAAGATTACTAAAAATATCTACAAACAGACATCTAATTTTGACTCATTTACATTGATAAGTTGTACTCTCCCAATCCACTCATAAATAATGACTGGTCCCAATTTATGCTTAAATGAAAATCAGAAACATACTAAATTTACAAATCCAAACTAAGTGAGTAAGCTCTCCTCTTCCCAGATTTTGTACATAAAAATAATCTCCAATTAATGCTGTACAGAATTCAGTCCACAAATATGGAGCAAAAGGATCCCCTTTAATGCATACCCAATCCTGTTCCTTTGACGAAAATTGGTTTCATATTCACTGCAGCTGAATCACTTCTATCCTCTTTTGCTTGTTTACTTACTCCTTACTAGGCATTTTTGTTATCACTTCAAATAATTTGAATGTATTAATACACTAAAGTGCCAAATTATAAAAAATAAATAATAATTATAATTATAATAAATTCAGATATGAATCACATCCCCACCATGCCACTCTTTTTTTAGCAAGGGGATCAGAGGAAAAAGTTTTTACAAGAGGTTATTTTCACTGGAAAAGAGATTATCAAATGGAACAAGTAAATATTAAATCAAAAAGGCATGACAATCTGCTACTTTGTACAGATGTTAAGTAGACATAATCAGAACAGTTTAAAACTTTGAAGATAAAAGAAGCCAACAAAAAATGACTCTAGCAAAAGAACTGTTCATTTTTGTGCGCGCGAGAGTCCGCGCAGGGCTTCCATGGGACTGTTCGCCTCAGTCTTACACGGTAAAATTGCACAGACAGGGATCTCAACCGAACCACGAGTGTGGTTCGGTTGAGACTCCTCTCTGTGCAATTTGACCGTGTAAAACTGAGGCGAACTCAAAATCTTCCAGGATTTTAGTTACTTTCATTAACCCTAACCCCAGATGTAAACGATAAATACTGCCAGCGTAAACATAAATGAATAACTCGTCATTGTACATTTGGGAGGCAATCGATGGAGTAAGTGTGAATTACCAACTTGACATAATTAATTGGGCAAAATATTACCCTCAGATGTAACGATAAATACCTTCCCGTCACGACATTCACCCTGACCTTACAGCCCTCGATTATGATAAATTTCACCAAAAAGGTGTGCCTGACCTCCAAAAACAATAAATGAGACAAATCGGAGCTTTCCAGACTTCTATAGATGTGAACTGTACCTTTAAACAATGGCGTCCGCCTCGCCACGTGCCTGTTGGCGACCCCTGTTGGCATTATTTTGGGATGACAGATGTTTGGAGTCTGAAAACCATTGTAATTGTTCTCTCTAGCCCCATCTGATAAAGATCGCTCATACGATGCCTTAACACAGCAATCTCGTAGGTGCGATTAAAGGGTTCTTCGACATGAATGAATTTTGACGATGACTGAGTTTCCAGAAATCTTCGGAAAGCGCTCGGTTTCATACTCGACAAAGAATCGCGTCTTCCGAGGAATAAGTCGCCTCCAGGCTTCTCATTCCCAGACCACCTCGGATACTGCGCTGCCCGGTCGTTCGGGACATTTTGGGCGGTTTTACACCAAGTACTACCAAAATTGAACTATGGCAGACCGTGTTGGGTAAGTAAGTTCTAGAAAATGTTGCTGATAACTTAGTCTCATTCAAATTGTCTCTCAAAAGAGAAAAGAACTTTGTAAAATTATATTTGCATAAGCATTGTTGTAAAAGAAAGAAAATTACTTTACGAATTTGTTGAGTGTTTGTTGGAGGGGTCAAATTATCGACATATGTACATATTGTAAGTTACAATCACATAATCGCGACTCATCTGAGTTCTTGCTAGTTCTGGATTCTATTGGATAACATTAAAATGATAAGTAGATCTGCAGGGTTACAAAATTCATTTTCTAAATAGCCTCCATGTAATCTATAGAGAATGCTTCGGCTATTTCACTCAGTTCCCAGAGACCTTGTTGTTTTAACGTAATCCTTCATCTTA